GCAGAAATCGGGCCCGCTCACCCCGCCGTTCAGGCCACGCCGGGACCGGGTTATCGGCAGCACCAAAAGGATGTCACGCTACGTTTGGAGTAAAAAACAAAGACTCTGAAAACGCCTCTGCTCTCCAGCAGCCTCCCCGCAAAGTTCCTGCTTCTCTCAAGAAACCCCAGCACCAAACGGGCCGCCCGGCTTCAGCCCCGGGGTGCTCCAGGAAAAGCAGCTCGGGGAGAAAGCGACAGGTTTGAGTGTCCTAACTCGCCCGGAAAGTGCTCTTGTCACAGTGACCTTAATCCCTTGAGCAGAAGCTTGGCCCTACTGCAGACCTGCCAGATTTCTTATCTTTGTTTCCCAATCGCCCAGGTCAATTAGCCACCCCCAAGCCGTGGCGAGCGTAGGCAGGGCGCCGGCACACCCCGCACGGCCGCAAGCCCAGCTCCCGGCCCTTGGTCTTTCTCAGAAGGAACCCCGAGTGAATTTACCGTTTGAAATGTGGTTTGGTTTTTTTATTATTGAAAGCCACGTCCCTGACTCGATGCCGTTAAGAAAAGTCAACACCAGAGAGAATCGCACGCCAAGGAGCTGGACTGAGGGAAAACAAACGCCAAAGCAGCCAACCCAACCAACCTCACCTTGTTTTCTCCAAGGCAGCCGGAGCAGCCTCTCGCCCCAAGAAACCCCCCCAGCAAGGCCCCTCTTTCCCAAAACTCTGTGATTAAAACTAAGGAACGAATGAGTTTTATTTACAGACTACCCCAAGAGAATTTGTACAGCAGGGTCTCACTCCTGACGACAAAACCCCACCGGCCTTTGACAAACTGTGGTTGAAGGCTTGGTTCTTCATCACCCCGCTCCACAGCGAGCGTTGGCAAGGCTCCTGTCTCGCCAGGAACCCGGGGGTGAGCTTAGTGTTCAAGAAACTGAGGCTGTCGCCTCCAAAAGCTGAACGAACTCGCCCTGTGCCCCTCAACCCTAGGGGCCACGCTCCAGGCCGCTCCACGCCTCGTCTTGCACAAGGCAGAGGTAAAAAACATCGAGGCACTGGTTTTGCAATGTCAGTTGAAGGTCACGCTGTACTTTGGGCTTCACGACAGCATCAGCACCCAGTTCTTCAGGGAACACAAGTCTGACTGAACAACAGTCCCAAAAGCCGGGTTGGAGACAGCCCCCGGTGGTGTTTGCAACCAAGAAAAAAAAAAAAAACCACCAAAAAAATCCCCAGAGCAGCACAAGCTGCATCGCTGAGCACCGGAGGACCCCCCCGTTCGGCAAAAACAACGGCATTCTTTGTAATTCTTGGTAAGAATTTAGCACTGAGCTAAACACGAATGGAGTCCCTGAACTATTCCCATCGGTATCTTTGGTGCGACCCTTCCGCGCTCAGCAGGGCACCGTGCAAAGGTCTCCGTTCCCACCCGCTCTCTTCTCCTCTCCCCATCCACCCAGGCCTCGTTACGACGCGGTTGTCATGACACTCGAGTGTGCAGTGAGTGGGCTCGCAGGCCTTTCTTCTGGGTGAAGGATGGCGCTGTGACTTCAGGAAGTTTTACAACATTAGCAAATAAGAGAATGATAATGCAGTTTCATAACATCTCACAGTAAAATTACGATTGCTCTGAAAGTACATTGTCCCCAAAACATTCTCAGTAGTAAGGTCGTCGTGGATTGTTCTGTGGGGAATAACAAGAGAGAAATGCATCAAAATTGCTGCCTTCACAGAACGACGAGCACCTGAGCTTAATTACCTGAAAAAAGGCACCGAAACGTGACGTTTCTGACAGCAAAACCCGAGGTTTGCCCATCAGAAATTACAAATGCGGCTTTCTAGGGGTGCTGGCACGCTGAAGGCAAGGGGCGAATGCAAACTCAGAGGCCTTTTGTGACCGGGAAAACAATTATTCAAAATAAGCCACGGATTCACGGACAACCCAACCGCTTCCCTTGGGCGCGGTGCTCCTCCTCGGTACGCAGCAGGTAAAACCAAACACCCAGGGGCTCGCCTTAAAAAAAAAAAAAAACCCAGCAAGGAAAACTGGGCCTCCACGGGTGTTTTGGTAGCGATCATCTGATTCAGGATGAGGACAGAATCAAAGAGAAACTTCCCCAGCGCTTGCTGTCTTGGCTGAGGACGAGAAACACTCCCACCGACCCGAGCTACGGGCAGAAGCCTCAAGGGATTTGTGCCCGTCTCTGCTCTGGTTTCGGGAGCCCCTTACCAGCGGGTTTGGTCGGAAGCGGTAGGCGAGCATCATCCGTTTGCGGAACGCCTCGTACTCATCGTCCTCCTTGGTCAGCTCGGCGGGACGATCGATGCCGAAACCAGCTCCGTCCACAGCGGTGGTTCCCCTGGTCGGAAAGAGGGAGCAAAGCCCCCGAGGTGAGCAGACGGGACACGGCACCTTCCTCTTCACCAGACAGCCGCT